TTTACATTTAAACAAAATGATAGTAATACAGATATTTGTATAATGTTTGTCGACTCAAATGATAGATTATTTGAAAATGATACTCATTTTGTTGATGATGTTTTGGGTCATGCATTTGGGCCTGAGAAAGGAACCATTCATATGAATAATGATCAATTTTGGTCGTTAAATGGATAATGGTCGTTCAATTCTGATACTAGAATCAATACTATTAATATTTTAACATTATTGCATGAAATTGGACATTCTTTCTGATTAAGTCATACATCAAATCTTGATTCAATTATGTTTCCAGCAATATAAGTATCTTGATATTTACAAAGACTACAATCTAATTTATTAGATCTATCTGTTTATTAAATACTAAATATAGGATCACAATTATTATAAGGTAATCTTTGATGTTGATAACTTTCATGATGAAAAATATCTAATAAGCTTGATACTTTTCAATATCCAGAATTAAACCCATGTCCTAATAAAATTGAGAAAACCATTGATTGGTGTACTACTAATCAAAAATTTGATTTAATATATAGTCTGGATAATATATTATTCTTATACAATCCTCTTGTAAAAACCTACATGTAACTATTACTTTAATTTGGTTTTTTCAAATTTGTATTACTAATAACCTTAAAACTCGAATCATGAAAACATAGATAGGTTTCTTAATTACTTCTTTACCAAAATATTTATGATGAATATGTATATCCACTAAATCGAAATGTCCCTTTTTAAAAGATTATAAATATGTTTTAACTGGTATCAATTTATTCTATAATTTGAGCTTAAAATGAATATCATAAAATAAAATTCCACTAGAATCAGAATATTCTGTTATATCCAATTCTTATCTATTATTTTCATATATTATAAATGGCATATACTGTATTAATACAAAATTTCTTATAGTATTTAAAATAGTTGATTATAAGTTTAAAAGGTGATTAATATTATTTGTATTTGAAATGCAATTTAAAAATGAATAATTTTTAGTTAAGCTAATATTGCTAATATATTGAATTATGAATCATAACTACATGAGTGTTTTATGTGTTTATTATCAGTTAAATTGTTGTAATTTAATAAATATTAGATTATATTAAATTAAAATGAATGCAATCAATATTAAACAGATAATTTTTATAATGTGTAACATTATGAATGGTGATGCGGATAATATTGACGACCATTTGTTTGACATTGCTGAAAAATCTATAACATATATTGACAATTTAATCAGTGATTATAATAATATTACAACTAATGATAACATTAAATACAATCAAATAAATTCTGTTTATATATCTAATAGTGATAAACATGACCAGGAATATGTTTATGAAACAAAACCAATACCAAAGTTACGGATGACTTATAGATATTTTGAAAATTGCAAATTACATGAAAATAAATCCAAACCATAAGTTGAACACTGTTAAACATGAATATTGTAAATGTTATTCTATTGAATTATTTTATAAAATTAAAAGTTTTGTGAAAAATAATTTTAATGGTTTTAATAATTATAAATCCCAAGAAATTAAAGATTATTTACGAAACTTTTTTCATGAGAAACGGAAAAGATTTCATAAAATATCCGATGAAATACCAATGTTAACTGCAATTAAAAAAGCACGTGAATTAAATTTTCATAGTTTTAAAGCAAGCAGATGTTTTATTAATTCATTTAAAAGTGAAGTTGGGATTATCGGTAGAAAAGTAACAAAATTAGTTACAAACAAATCAATTGATGAACAAATATCTATTGATTTTAAAATTAATGAATTTCGACAAGAATTTGTTAATAAATATCAAAATAACTTTAACCCTACATTAATTATTAATTCAGATCAAACTCCATTTAATAAGGTAAATTACTAATTGTGCATGTCACTAAATTTTTAAATTATATTTTCTAAATATTGTTATTTAAAATAGGAATTATCAGCCAAAAGGACATTGGCATATAAGGGACAAAAATGTGTAAAATTAAATGTGCAAAATATTAGTGCAACTAAACACAGTTATACTGCTATGCCAACTATTTCTATGGCCGGAAATATATTTGGAAAAATTTATTTAAAATTTCAAGAATCTAATGGGAAATTTGGAAAATTTGTTTTACAAAAGGTTTTACGATTGGAAAGACAGTTAAAGAATATTAAAGTATTTTGTACGACAAGTGGTAATATGGAAAAACCTATATGTAATAAATGGGTTAAAGATTTATTAAATGAAAATTATATCAACGATTATATTGACTGTACATATAAGCCGGATATTCTATTATATCTGGACTCATATCCATGTCATTGGACCAAAGAATTTGATAATTATTTATATCAAAATCATATTAACATTACTAAAGTCAGAGTACCTGAAAAAACTACAGAGTTTTGTCAACCATTAGATATATTGTTTAATCTTCAATTAAAATACTTTCATAAAAAAATTGCTTATGAAATTAAAATTAATGAATTGGAAATTAAATTAAATAATAGGTTTACAATTATGAAAATATGGTCATTAGTATGGGAACAAATGTCTAGCCCTAAATTCTCAAATATGATTAGACATTGCTTTGAAAAAGCATTAATTGGTAAACCAATTGAATACCAAAATGTAAAAACAATATGTTTTTTAATTAAAAATCATTTTTGTGATTGTAATAGTATAGCATTTATTCAATGTTCAATTTGCGATAAATATTTGTGTTTTATTGATTTTTATGTGAAACATCATTCACATTTATAAATTGAAAATATATTATATGTATTTATATTAATAGATTTAAATGTATTTAATATTTCAATTGAATAACGAAACTTTTAAAATAAATATGAATTATATGTTAATATTAGTAAAAGGTTTAAACTTACAAACATTAAATATTTCACATAAAAACATGAATCATTGACTATCAATAGATTTGAATTAAAAATTAATAATATGTTTATTGTATTTATTACTAAAACCATACAAGAATATCTGTTTTTTAAATAATTAGAATTGGATCTAGCAGAATATTCTGATTCTAGTGGAATTTTATTTTGTGATATTCATCTTAAGCTCTAATTATAGAATATATTGATACCAATTAAAACATATTTATAAACTTTTAAAAAAGGACATTCCGATT